TTTTGAAACATTTATAGGGGATATTTAATAGAATTATCAAAGGTTTGATTAATCTAATTAAAATTAAAACATAACAATAATGTATACTCTTACCATACATAGTAGGTAATTCAGTTTCGTAAGTTTGGAATCGGAATAACCGTATAGGTACCAATTTATACACTTATTATAATATTGTTCATAATTTGATAATTGCTTCAAGTTATAAGTGTATTATTATATTATTTTTATAAATATTTCAAACAAATTAAATTTTATTATAACATATTTATAATTAAAACTGATATAATTAAATGATATATATTCTATACTTAATTATTGATATTCATTAGTTTTATTTTACATGTTTAAATAATTGATTTAAGTCGTTATAAATACAATTTTTCTTTGCTCCTTTAAATCAGAAATATCAATATATTCATCACCCATATTTCAATATGGATTTAGGTTTATATTATATTATTCATGTGATAATTTACACAGAAGTGATGGCCATTATCAATTGTATTCAAAGTTCGATTGTGAGCAAATTTTTGAATAACTTATAAAATTATTTTTTTATAGCAAGTTACGAAATTTGTTAAATTACATATTAAAATGTAAAAACAATAAGAATATTTTATTCTAGGGTATCACTTTTCTAAATTTCCATCGTATACATTTTGTTTGATTTCTCGTTAAACATTAATACTATAATGCTAAAATTACCTATTATTATAATCATAACTGGATTCACTACATAAGAACATTTTACACTCATAGTTACCTACTTTTTTATAGCATAGATATAAAAATTATCATTATTATAATTCTTTTTTTTCAGTTTTGGTTTGTCATATACTCATATAATATTTAGCAGACTTATTTTTTTTTTCATTTCCCTCTTTTATAATCAGTTAATCTCTACATCCTTAAATACTTAAATTAAAAATACATTTCTTTCGTAATCCTTTTTTTTTTTAAATAATATTTTTCGGGAGGAGCTGTATTTTGTTATTTTCTTTTTTTCTTTTAATTATTTATAATATTTTATAAACTAAAATATAATCATTTAGTATAAATACTTTCGCAAACATTTCATAGTATATATATTTTATTTATTTATAATAAACAATTTTAGATATTTACTTCAAAAAATACTCTTGATAATTCTTTTTATGAGCTCTCTAAAAGTTTAATTGAAGTATTCATTAATATAAAATAAATATAAATCTAAATGAAAAAATAATATAATACAATACCCGAAATTATGTCTATTCGTAACTATTTAATTATCTGTAATATATCTATTTAAAAACAAAATCAAGAATATTTGATTTTCGTTAGCTGAAACAAAATTTATGTTTGATCCATATTATAGTTACCTAATTATTTGTAATACAGAGCTACAAATTGTTACCAATAAGTCTCAAAGAATTTATTGTTATACATTTTATTGAAAATGGTCTAAATTATTTTATCCTTTAGTGAACAAAGAAAGACACATTCATTACATATAATACATGGATGAAGAAACATTTTATTAATGCACTCGAGATACAAGTGATTAAAGACAAATTGTGAGTTTATCTACACTACATCAATACTTAGTAATAAGCTTTTTATAATAGATTTTAACGTAAGTACAATGTTACGCAAAACAGTTTTTTTAATGATTAATAAAAAGTAATTTAATTTATCTAGACACATAATGCTTTAAATTTAATTGTATTATAATACTAATTTCATTTGTAAACTTATTTTATTTGAAAAAATAAAGTAACTATAATATTATATCAATTATTTCTTTGAAAAAATTGAAAAATAGCTAATAAAAACACTATTTAAAAGAAAAAAGAAAATTTCACATAGTAAACGATAATATTGTTTGATAAAATTAAATGTATATAATTTCAAATATTATGTTTAATAATTAATAATAATATACTTAGTTTTAAAAATATTTAATAATATAAATAAGCTTTAATTAATAAAAAAATTAAAAATTCTAGCAAAACTTTACAATACTGTAGCTTAAAATTCTCAGTAACAGTAAATTATTTGTATTTTTTTAACATTCAAACGTAGAGAAACAGTAGCGAAATTATTATTAGCGTAGGTGGCCATAAAAATAACTTTTATAACACCGTATTAATAATGAATAGTTGTTTTATTTAATTTTTTTTTTTTTTCAATAACTATAGAAAAATGTATAAATTCTGCGTAGATACAAATAATTCGGGTAATTATATATAGTTGAATAATGAATTAGGCTATAAATAAATAAAAAATATATTTTAAATTTATTTAATAAATCCAAAAATAAAAAGATAATTCAATAATAATCAATATAATTGATTGTCTTATTTTCTTAAATACTTTATGGTATATAAGTTTATATCAATATTTATGTTATAGAAAAGTTTGATTTAAAAATTATACATCCACCAATGTGTCTTATTTTTACACGCTCATTTTTGTTATAGTTTTCGATTTTCGTACCAACTATATTCTTATAAAATATTAGTTTGTTTACTTTAGATTATTTTTTTTTTTTATACAGAAAACTTGATTTTGATTTTATATTAATGTTAACATAAAATTCGACATATGGTTAAACGGATATTCTTTAATAATAGCTTTTTCTTTGCATTGGTGTATTTTCAAGGAATATAATTCATACTTATTTAACAATAGATACTAAAAATCGAAAAATAATAACAGTGAAAGTAAAGCTCATGATAAAAACAGTCTATGGAAAGTTGATTATGTGTAAGTAAATTCTAGAATATGTTTCAAGAGGCAGCTATCTTTTGAATTTTGGAAAATATTTTCGAAATAATTTAATTTATCCAATAAATTAAAGTATTATAGTTGTAAGTCATTTTTGAAGAACGCTACTAATTGCAGAGAAGTGTGGAAAAGTAATTTTTTACTATTTTATATGTTGATTCTTACAAATTATTAGTAGTTTTTTTAATGTTTGACTGCAGAAATGTATTACTTTCTTTGATGATAAACACATTAAATCCACGCGAAGTAAGTCAAAGTCTATAGATTTGAAGGAAAAATAGTTAACATTTATATTTGTGTTCACTATTCACACATACAGTTTAAGTTTCAAATGCCTACGTCTCGTCTTTTGCTTGTATTTTTAGATGATATTATAATCATACTAGCTTGAAACTACAATACCACAAAATTAATATAAATTTTTAAACATTTTGTTAATAATATGCTATAGTGTTATCGATTTCAGTTTGTTGTAAAATGTATTATTAATATATAAATATATTACACAGAATTCCATAACCAGTATGTTAAAGTTATATTAAATATTCATATTTGTTAAATCAATATAGTACTTACATTAAGTTTCCATGATATATAATTTTAAATAAAATTACTTAACCCTATTACCTAAATAGGTATTTAAATAATAAATATATTAAATATATATTACACCTATAGGTATTATTAAAGCATTTTTTTTTTTTTTAGGAAGTTTGTGATAAAAGATTTCAAGAGGGTTTGATACAATCAATAAAATGTTAATATATGTTTTTAATATTAAACCAATAATCAGTTTACTAATAATTGAAGCTTTTGTATATCACTCTCTACATATTACATATAATAAATAATATCATAATTTTATTCAGTCTGTTTTGCTAAGAAAAATCATTATAAACAGTATCATATTGATCTGACATATTTTATGCTTTGTTATATTTTTATCAATAAAATTGAATATTTTAAATATAAAATGTTTAATAAAAAAACAGCGAATTCCTTAATATACGATATAAAATTATATTATTTCTTGAAATATTTGGAATATGGAATAATTAACATTTAAAATATATATGTTTTTATAAATTTTATCATTCGATTGGATAGCGAATATTGTAGATCGACAAAACCGTTGTGTGCTAAGGTAGCTACAATATAACAATAGATGTATATATTATGTACATACTGTATATATTAAACAATGAAATTCATTAGAATACTCAGTAATAACTAATAATGAATATAAACGTAAACAAATAGTTATATAATTTTACCGATTAACGTGTGACAATAAATACATGTATGTGGAATGAATATTGTTATAGATTCATATAAGCATATTTATTTAAGACACGGCATTAAGTATATAATTTATTTCAGTAAAAAAAAATGTAAGTATTAATGGTGTACAACACATACATTTATGATGCTAAGTGCACTTATATTTAGACTATAAATATTACCAAAATCTAGTTACTACGACAAACAACGATACCGATCTAATGATAGTCAGTCTGAAGGTAAGTAATCCTAGATTTTAAATTAACGTAAGTCTTTTATGATTTTTTTCACTAAAAGTCAATTAGTTTTACTTTCATTTTTCAACCTCACAACTAATCTAAACATCAATTAAAAGTAGAATATTTTATCGTAGAACCATCAAAGCAGCCAAGATAATAGTATAATGTTTGCGTTAACACTTCCTTATAAGACCGATGCAATAGCTGTCGACATTATAAACATGATATGGCAGACACTTTCACATGATGCACATACATTAAAGTATTCCTATTTATAATATATTAATATATAATATGTATACACTGAAAGTAAACGTAGGTTCATGCCGCATAAATAAATGTGGTAAAGGTATTATGTTTTTTAAAAAGGTCGTGGCATGATAAATACGCTGCTGTTGACAAAAATGACGAAGTAATAATAATATTTTTTTTTTTTGTTCCGGTCTGCGGGTTGTACAGGCAGTGACATGATTGTTAGCTACTTTTTTTCGCACACCTCTTGTTTTTTACTATTTTTTTTTTTTGCCCAAGTAACGTTAAATAATAATAAAAGTTACCAGAGTACAAGAGACACGTGATGACATATTGGAGACATGTCACTTTTTATCTCGTTACAATGGCTGAGGATAAAAAGGAGTAAAGTAATAACAGTGTTGTGGATAATGTAATTTGTAAATGTAAATAATTATTCTTGACGTACACACATACCTCTCATTTTGTATTGGTAGATGGCAATAGTCTTATGAATTGAACATGATGAATATGAATGCAAATACCAGAATGTACGTCAATAGCGATTAAATGTCTTTGATTAAAACTGCTTTGAAACTGAAACATAAAAATCCAAAAAAAAAGATGATAATATAGTTAAATCCAATACAAATTAGCATATCTAAACGTACAGAAAATATATAAATAATTTGGATACATAATTTTTTAAGATAATTTTCCCTCATCAGGTGGACATAGGTTGATGCTAAAAATTAAATATAATATTGTATAAACTATTGTATATAAATTGTTCATTTTTAGTTATTTTGATCGCGTCATCGTCGTTGGACAACGATGATAAGATGCTTAATAATTAATATTTTCAATTATTATTTTCATTGTATGTAAACAGTCTATGTTGGATCGGTTATATATTATGCGTGTGTGCGTCCAACGTCCACCGTTATACATAGTATGTTTTGCCGAGAAAGGTTGTAATAAAAAACGGCTTTTTATCCATCGCACGCATTTCATCGTTGAATTTAATTTTTAAATTCAATTGTTTTTAACACGGTAGCTATCAATGTGAGTTTATTATTATTTATTGTTAATTATATCATCGAAATAAAAAATGTATTTTACATTTCTCGACGAATATAAAAATGAAAAAATTGCATTTTCTAACGAAATAAACCAAAAAATATCTGTGCTATATACTTATAAAAAAAAAAAAAAAAATTAGAATAATAAACAAAAATTATAAATTGTATGTGTTTACCTACAAATTAAATGAAAATATAAAATGTTATGGATATGAGAATGATATTCTAATTAATTGAAGAAAGATTTAAAGTAATATTACCATTATAGGATATAGCTACATAATATAAAAATATTTATTAAACTTAAATGGTAAAATGTATGTCGGAAACGATAATATTTATTATACATAACTACTTCAGCATGATAATGATATAAAATTCTATTAATTTCTAAATTTAATATTATTTAATCTTTATTTAATCATTAAAAATGATTTTTTTTTGTAGATGTATGCACTTTAAACGGTATATTTTTTTATAGAAGACGAAAACATAATATTTTAGTGTTTGCGTCCTGTGGAAATAGATCTAAAACTATTCTTAGAACTTTTAAAATGTATTCAAACATATAAATGAAAGGCATTTAGTATCTAATAATATAATATAATATATATTAAAATGTATCGTTATTAACAATATAGTGAAGAAAAAAGGCCATAGATAGATTATAGTTCAAAATGTATTAACGATGTGTGTTAGTAAATTAATTTATAATTAATTAATAAAAGTTAACTAAGAGTATCGGTTATACCTATTTTGTAAATTGACTATTGTTTGAATAACTATTAGCATATTATAGTTAATTACATAAATTCTTGAAGTTATTTTGTTTTCAACTTTTTTACGATTTCGGAATACTATGCTGTTTAGTTACCATTATTTTTTCGATGTTGTGTTATCTACATAGTTGAGTGTTAGTGTGTAAGTACTGTAAGTAATGGTTTTTTATAGACCATTTCGTTTTCAAGTTATTTTTTTTTCACTTATTCATTGTTAGATGGAATGGTCCACATTTTATTGATTATATAATATATAAATGAAAAATTTATAATATTGATGTTTAATTAATTATCATTTGATTATACAAAATAGAGCCCAATTTCGATTTTAAAAATCTCATTAATGCGTTATCATAATATCATCTATATTCTGGGTTATTATTGCTTAATATTATAGTTCTATTTGTAAAAAATTGGGAATTATATTATGAAGTAAAAACATTTCTCCAAAAAAATTTATCTCGGTAATTTCAGAAGGGTGAGACATTTTCAATTTCTAATACATTTCAGATGAATAGTACAAGATATTTCCCAATAATTGGAGGTTAATTATACCAATTATTGTTTTATTTTTCTTGATTTATATATATTTCAATTATTGCTACAAATTTCTGAATTAATAACAAACTTTAATAACTATTTAAATACTTCATAATATTATATTATATGCATATCGTGTAAAATATACATATTTTGTCTATACACATTATTGAAAATAATTTTAATTCTTAACATGATATTAATCAATAAAAGTGAGATATGTAGGTTAGGTTAAGTACATATTATTCAGTAAGTACTTTTTGATGTCAAATTTTCAAAATTTGAGTCAGAAAACCAATGAACCGTGATAAAATATTTATACTTTTAAAGTTTTAACCATAAAAAATATGCGTGTATATTATATATATTTATATACATTTAAATATTAGTATAATCTGTATTTAACCTTTTTTTATTATTTGAGATGTAAAATTTTATAATATTTTTTATTTAAACATATTTTATTATTTTATATTAATTTAATTATTTAATATTGTTCATTTGTTAATCAATCATGTCTCACTGATTATTGTTTTTCCAATATAATAAAAATCTATTGACGGTAATATACGTCAGCATTTTTGTAATAATATTGTAAATTGACTGTTTCAAAATAAATAAGTTTTTTTTTAGCTTTTACAAAATATAACTATATTAAATTATAACTTGAATGGCATACAAAATATTATAAAAGTTTGTTGTAAATTTAATCCATAACATACCGTTTGCTACGTATCTGTGTTATGTATTAATAACAAAATAAACCTCAAACTCATCGATTTTACAAAAAAAAAAATTTTTTCTTTCTCTCTTTTTCTTTAGCAACGTGTTCATTTATTTAAACTTAAGATTCAAAGCACTCATATATTATTGCAGTATTATAAATAAATATATTTAACACGTTATGTGCCATTTTTTAGAGATACCTATCATTATTCGTTTATCTAATATACTCTTGAATATTATAGTATTAAACGATAATATTTAGGTGCTTCATACATGCCGGGGTATAAAATGTATAATTTAAATATAAAATCTATAGGAATATTCATAAACGGTTTACTTTATTGCCGACACTAGCTGTAAATAAATATATGGAGTACTTATATACTGAAATTACATTGATTTTACATTTTTTTTTTCGACAATAATTCGCCCCCTCCAAAAAAAAAAATTTGGAAATACACCACTGGCTTTAATTCTTAATAAATAAATGTATGATGTATTAATGTATATATGCATTAGATACGAATACATGCATGTATTTAAATATCAATCACGACCTGGAATATTAATTAAGGTTATAATTTATAATAATAGGTATATATTAATAATATGGAAGAAAATAAATTATGTAACTATTAAATGTGTAATACATTTTTAAATTATAAATTTAAAAGACATATAGTTATATGTCTCAGTATATTGAGTCATCATTAAATTTTTACCTCAAAACCAATTAACCCAGAAAGAAGACTAATAAAACTCAATAAAATATTTTTCTTTAGTCTCTAGACATTTAGTCTTTAAAGTTACGGCCATATTTATGATCATTAATTTTCACTCGAGATAGTAGATGTAAACCTTACCTATGTAATACTAAGATTCTTTTCCACGCAATTGCACAAAATTAATTTCGTTTTCTTGAAAATAATGGTTTTCTTTTTAATTATCTTATATTAAAGCCGATGACCACATTTAAAAAATACTTAATTTTAAATTAACCCCGTCATTTTTTAAACATTGTTCCTCCCAACTATCAACTGAAGTTTATCAAATGCAAGTTGAACAGATAAAAAATATTGGATAGTAAGTATTTATAAAAAAAGTAAATGTATTTAGTTTATTTATGTAAAAGAAAAAAAAAAATTATTAATCTGATTCTATCATTTGAATTATACAAATAGTATCGACATTAAAAAAGGAGAAAAGTAGATTACCACTTTGATGTGAAATATATGCCAAGTGTGCCTCATCATCGAAGATTAAGTCACTGTAGAGTATATTGGTTAAATTGAATTCAATGATAAAATATCGTTAATGAAAAACGTTTTTGTGTGTAGACGCTCTGTCAGCTATTTTGCCGAGTAATATATATTTTATGATATTATATTTATGAATTATGTTGCTATTAAAACATAATTAATTTTTATATAATATAATATATAGATATAGTAACGTGGAAGCTTGAATAAATTGTTGCCGAAAAGTCGAAGACATTGAATTTCAAAATGCAATTATGTATATAAAAATTAATAGTATACGTTAAATATTTGAGTACCCACAAATAATATTTTTGAAATTTAATAAAAAAGAAACAATAAAATCATATTTTTCAAAAAAATATTTTGATTTTAAATTTTATTATAATATTTTTATTATTATTATTGTTTTAATTATTCTCAAAGTTGAAGATTGATACATTTTTACTATAGTATCCAAAAAGTAATGAAAAAAAAAAACAAATATTGTAAATTTAACACTTTCATTGCTTCAGGATCTAAAATATCTAATTATATGCATTTTAGATTATATTACAGGGAAACATGTCATTCAATTTTAAACGTTTAGTTTTTTTACGTCTTAGCAAACAAACCAATAGATAGATCTATTGAATTTCTGTGCAAAATAAACAATTACATCAATTGATTTGGTCAGTTTTTATAATAAAAACTAAATAAAGCATTGTAAGTTAATAAGTATTTTCGTTTTATTTTTGAATAGAATTAACGTTCACTTAAGTTTCTTAAAAATTTTTCGAATATATGGCACTAAAAATTCTGGTAAACTTCTAAAAAATAAAGAAAAATTAAGACGAAGACTAAATATAATATAATAAATTAAGACGTTATGCCTTCTATATGACCTGTGTCCAAATCTAATCCATAGTTCGTTTTCAACTTTCATGTTATTTTGTCATGAAATGTAAGTAACAAATAAAAATAAAAAATAATTCTTCATAAAAAATTTGAACACAACCTTCTGATTTGAATTTAATATAATATTATGACAAAATACTAGTGGATCGTTTTGGTTCAAATTGTTAATAAAATAATAAATAAATAAATAAATAAATAATCTGTCAATTCGATTGAAATTTTCATCTAATTTTTTTTTAAGGTATTTTATACTTTCTTGAATTATTTAAATTCATTAGTTACCATTTATTTTGTTTTATTTTGCTTAATCTAATACG